CCGGCAAATGGTACATCGAACACACTGTCGGTACAAGGGAGAGTCTTGGTACTGCAAGTCCTTCTTTTAGCGTCAAGCTTGGTACTGCAAGTGATCAAACGCAACTTTGCTCAACATCAGCGCAGCTCGGGTGGAGAGGGCACACTCTTGAAGCCTCAGACTGCCCTCTTCGCTCGAGGGCGACATGTCGTCAAAACACTTCCAGTTCGAGGCCTCCAATTGGAGTTTCCAACGACCCATTCGTCCCATTGCACTGCACAAGTCAGGTCAGCTCCTACCTCATCTCAACATCTCTTAACAGCTCCCCCCTTGGTCCTTTGGTGCAAGTGCAACCCGATCAATCCCATGAAGCGCCGGCAGTGACCCCCATGACATCGGACACGGCACGGCTTCTCCTCTTTGAGCTCAGCGCCGTACTGCTGCACATCCTCCCGGCGGCCGAAGCTGCTGGGACCAGCCCTGCTTAGGGGACCCGAACCATGGACACCGCGGACACCTGAAGGGCAGTGATGTCCTGTCGCACCTGCTTTGACCGAGAGAATCTGACGCATGTCCGACCGAAAGACATCCCTGATCGGTTCGTTTCTTTGGATGCCCACAATATCTTGCAACATCTGAGGGCTTGCATATTTAAGCGTCCCTAAAAATCTGGGAACCAAATCATTTGTGCGAGCGCTTCTTCAAGGAAGCTTCCCCCGCTGCCCTTCAAGGAAGCGCGAGCTATCCTGCGTCCAGTAAGTAGGTAGTAACTAGCTTAAGCAAGCTACTAGCTACCTGGCTACTACTATCGCAGCCTACCCCCCCGCGGGCTTAAAAAGAACGCTGAGTCTTCTTGCGTTGGAAGAAGCTTAAAAAGTGCGCGTGCGTTTGAAAAGTGGCCGTTGATGATCAGTCACCTGGAGACGCCAGGACATTATAGGAGCCTTGTCGTCATGCCTTACTCTCAAAGAACAGCTACATTGCCGACATCGAAGACCATGTCGTTCTGCGCCGACCCCCAAGACCTGTTGCCCTGCGTCCCAGCGCCTTCAACTCCTCCTTCTCGGCCGTCTTCGAATCCTCGGAACCGTCCGACCCGGTTCCGCGACCCGCTCGGCGGCCCGCGCGTCCAGGTGCGCTTCGCGCTGCGACGGCCCCTCGGGGCCCCCGGCAGACTTCTTGACCTTCTCGGTCTCTGCAGAGGCCTGGGACGGAGGCCACGGACGGTGGGATGTCCAAGAAATGGAAGTGAGAAGAACAAGGCAAGCCCCAAACACCCCAGCACCAAAGGTCCAACGCAACGATGCTGGGGCTCAGCCAGGACCATGACACACAAGTCCTAGACCCTACTGTGACACAGACATGTGCATTAGCCAAAAGGCCAAACCAATGTGTCCCATCAACTTTCACCGACTCTTGAAGCGCCTCGTTTTGCTCAGCTTGGCCATCGCCCCAATCCCCACGTACCGCCAACCATCCACGCCCACGTTCCAAGGGCTCTCGGCCTTGGCCTTTTGCTTGGATGCAATGGCCTTAACGTCAGCTTCACGCTTGGCTTGGGCCTCAGGGAAGGTCGTTGGTATCAGGTCCAAATCACTCTCCCAACCAAACAGAACTGGCCAAGACGTCTGTTCAGTTCTCCGGCCGACACTGTGGCCCAAAGCAGCAAAGCCGTCAGCATCCGCCCAGCACTGCTGTAGCCACGTTTCGAGCCGAGAACGGGACATCGACCAACATGTCCTCATAGAGGCGCTGGGACTCCTTTTCGTTGGATTCCGCCTGAACACGACCCGACTCGCTTCGACTCGTCCGCTACCAAACTGCCCGGCACCTTCGGACGCGTGTGGGTGGGTCTCATTCGGGCCCTGTCGCTTCGGTCAGTGCGGCCGACGCGCCGACGCACCGCCTCCGCCAGCGTCTTCTCAGTCTCGGTCACCAGGCCTCGTACGAAGAAGTGGAAACCACCCCGGAGAATTTGCTCAAAAAGGAACATACATGATCATACATGAACATACCAAAACTGTGGAGAACCTGGTCTTTGCGCTTTCTTTTTTTCCATCAAACTATCGGTCCACATAGCTGGAAATTTCCAAAGCCAGGAGAGTGATTCGTCATCTAGTCTGTCTTTCGAAGGCTATTTCCGGGACTCTGGGACCCAGATTTCGAGGCATGCCCGGCAGACCTGTTTGGCTCAATTCAAAAAGGTGCTCGGGGGATGACCAAGGTGTCCATAAGGAAACTCTTTGCGCATTCCAGGGGTGGACAGAAATACTCGCTTCTCCGATGAGTTCCTTACAGAGGTCCATCACATTCTGGGAACGCTCTTCAGCATTTCGCGTTCGGCCCTTGCCTTCCAACATGGTCAGAACACGGTTGCCCTGCACCGACCTGGGCGTGCGCCCGATCAAGAAAGCTCATCCTGAGTGATGAGCCTTGAATCACTTTGAAGCGAAAGGTTGCCGTCTGTGTTTCACGTCTTGAAAGCTTGGCCACCCCAAAGACTTGCCATGGAAACGCCTCTCAACGCCTCTCAGCACCGGAAAGTGGTCGCTTTCAGCCCTCCTCGTTCGGCCACCCCGCTTGGCGGAGCCGAAGCTTGGAGGCTCGTTCTCGGAGATGTGGGCCTGGAGCCACCATCCCAGTGAAAAACCAGCGGAAAAAACATCCTTTTCTCCGTTGCAGTGTAGCTGCGTAGCTATGCGTAGCTCGTAAGCTGTTGGGATCTGTGGGGTGTAGCACCCTTTTTTTCCAACGCACAACACAATTAATTGAAGAACTACATCCTCAGAAATCCCGCTGTGACAAATGTTCAAGAACAAATCCAGAGTGAGCTTGGACCATGGGCTCCGAAGTGCAACGTGCGAGTAAAGCTCAGTGTACTTCAGGTTCCAAATAGCTGGACTAGTCCAACAACAACCAGAAGACGCTGCGTGCATGAATTGAGCAGTATTTGCAATGCTGCAACACGTGTTTGTCAACTCAAAAAGAGTCTTTGCGGCTAGAACATCTCTCCTCCGACTTTCAAGTGACATCTCAACTAAAAGCCAGTTGATCTTTCCCTTTGGGTTCACCGTTCTTCCCAACTTAAAGAACTGCACCTCCACTTGCACCAAGGCTGGCGCAGACTCCTGGCGCCGTCGTGGACAAGGACCGGGTTGTTGAGTACAGCACCCGGGGTCTTTGCTAACGTGTCGGTCGATCCACGGGTTCAACATGCTTCAACTTCAACCTCCGCGGATACTGACCTTACTAGCTCAGCCAAAAGTCTTTGGAATTCTAAGCTCCTGCCTGGTTCTGGACGTTGGAGGCGGGCAACCAGGCGACCGTCTAAAGGTTCATTCCAGTCTGACTCTTCAATCAACATGCAATCTAAAACGCTAGAAAGGCTTCAAGTCAAAAGCCCACCGTGAGTAACCTTTGTCGCTTTGATACCACAGTCCAAAGCCTTACAACCGTGCTTTACTACCACGGAAGCAACGGACTCCCAAGCTGCCCTCCTGCAGCAGACCAAGGCCAAGGTCATAGGGCCCAGTGGTGGTTAAGGTGGTAGTCATGTCCTCAGCCGCCACGAGAAATTTGGAATGACAAAGCAAGTTTTGAAGAGCTGAACTTACCTTGTTCTTCTGACAGCTAAACCTCATCAGCGGTGGGTCTCTCTGTGGTTGGTCTCCGAGCCCTCGTACAAGTGCCAAGGCTCGGGATGATAGAACTGGAATAAGCGATCTTTGGCCATCAAGAGCACGTCCTGGCGTGGCCAGGCGGTGGGTGTGCTTTTTTAAAACATCAAACCATGTGAGAAGCCACAACCTTTGAAGGGCAGCACTGCGAGGGTAGGATAGAAATCTTTCAATTGAAGACATTCGAGCGCTCTCGGTCCTTGGTTGCAGCCTGCTCTTGCATGACCTTCTGAAACTCCTCACCGAAAACACCAAGCCGGGCCTATGCTTTTTATCTAGAGCACGGGAAAAGTAGGACCGCACTGTGCATTTTCCTCTTGTTTCTGGGCGTGCGAGACTTGCTCACTGCACTAGAAAATCGTGTGCACTGTTTTTGGCTGAAAGGAGCTATATACCGAATAGCTGATCCATTCAGGTCACTCCAAGGAAAGAAGCTTGCGGATCTAGCATCCGAGAAGAAGAAAGGAAACACCCCTACAATACAGACACCGATAAACAGGCAGTTGGTCCCTACATTTGGAGAGCGAGTTCTTTGGATCTGGGTCATACCTCACAAACCTGACACTAACATTAGGACCCTTTCAAGTACAGAGTACGAGCGCTGTTCATTGAAAGGATTCGACCAACATAGAGGGCTTCCAAAATCTCATCCAGTCAATCACTCCTCGTGCTCCTTTTTTCTCATCTCAGTAGATTCAACCACTGATTTGTCCAACCTCAGAAAATCACAAGGGCGACTCTGGCCGAAGACCGCCTAGCGAAAGTGCCATAGCGAACCGTCCAAGAACAACCACTTCTTGTCGAGAAAACTCAGAAAGCTTGTCATGGGCGTCCCCAAACAAACAAGACTTGGATATCTTGGATCGTCCACTTCAGATACACCCTTGAGTCACGAGGTGGCAAGTCCTGAGTAGAGTCATCTTAACCCCTTTCCGTGTTCACCTCCACGCAAATCGGGGAAGGCGTCCCGCTCTGCTCCACCCATCCTTTCACTTAAAGCTCCCTGGAGGATTGATCTTGGGACGCCGTGCTTGGTCACGCCTTTCTGGAGCTCTTCGATCTCACTCGAAGTGCTGGCAATGGCCTGGCGCTTGGGTGCCGAAAACATGCGACTTGAAGACCCCATCCTGAGGTGTAGGGGCTGGAGAGGAACATGATGCTCTAAATGGGCCCAGTTTTTCACATCTAAAAGAGAGGTGGAGGTTTCTCCATTTGAAGCACTTGATGCGGCTCTTCAGCTTGCTTGCCCGTACTCACCCCAAATGTGCGCCTCCTCTTGGATCAGGACCGCCTGCTCCAAGGTCTGGATCTTGTGACGCAACGCCTCAAGGAGGCATAAGTTGATCAATTGTGGACAGCTGCAAAAAAACACAAGTTGAGCAGCAACTCAGGAAGATGTCATGCCAGCATTGGCCAAACAAAATGTATACCTGTCACACAAGGACACCATATTTGATAATTGAATAGCTTCACTTGCTGAGTCATCAATAGGTCCAAGTGTGGATTCTCATGCATGAACCCATGTCCTCCAGTTCCCTACCGCGTCCATATTTCACCATCTAAGATGAAAATCGGAGTGGAATCCACGTTTGAGTTCCTGGTGTGGAACCCACGCGCGCGTCTCTAAGGGCCTTGGTCTTCCGCTTCGTCTCGAAGGTCTGCTTGTTGCAGTAGGCCTTCTTCTCGTCGTCATTCTTCTGCTCCTGTTCAACGGGGCATTCGGGTCGCGCCAGCACTTCCTGGGAACCCGAAGAGCAAAAGGGCAAGGAGAATGAAGTGCAAAGAAAGAAGTCAAGGAAGGTCTTTTGCGCTACCCGGATGACTCGCCACGCCAGGATCTAGCTGTCTGTTTGGCTACCAGTGCTCCCGACCCCAACGCCTGCTCCATGAGCACCGTCATGTTGTCAATCATGCTCATCACCTGCAGGCTGCAGGCCGCGTCCCGGACATCCAGCGCCCAACGAGCCCGCAACGCGTTGTCCCAACAGGACGCATGTGAATGCTAAGACCGGGCATTCTCGTTGCAGCTGAGGAACAGAAGAGAAGTCGACACCCTTGTTCGACAAAGCCAGCATCTTGGCAGAGCGTAGGAGGATGCTTTGCAGCCCCGGTTGCTGTGATGGAAGGCCGCTCAAGGCAAACAGGACCAACTTTTAGTCTTTCTTACGCGATCAATGTGAATGTCCATCTTTCGATCATTAAACTGGCCCCTTCCACTGCACGCACAGGACAGGGGCACCTACGTGCTTGAAGTTGAATTTGGGGCCACAAAAGCTCCTTGCTTCTCTCAGGCTGCCACCACTAGGTCCACATTGGTGCGGTTCCCCACTGCCTACCCAAGAGGTCAATTGGCGGTCACAATTGGCGGTCAATTCTTCGTCTTTTGACTTGATAGCCCACGTTCATTTAGAGGGCATCACATCACAAGAGGTTGCAGTCCAAGGTTGATGTCTGGTCTCGATATAGCCAAGTTCATTGAAAACAAAGCTACCGTGCGTCCTTAGTGATCTGATTTGCATGTTGACAGTTAACATCTGGTGCCCCTTTTTGGGCCATCCGCCTTGGAGCCCAAAGAGGAGGCATAGCCCTTCAGCACACCCAAGGCCTTGTGCCTGGCGATGGTTACAGAGGAGTTCCTGGGACCGGACCCTGTTTGGGGACCCGGTCGTGGGGCCGATGTGTGATGATGTCGGGGGACCGGACCGCCAGGTGCCCTCGACTCATAGCCCTAGGCAAGGCGGGCCAAGCTGTGAGAAATGTTAGTTGTGGATCTCCGGGACTTTATGTTGTGCAAAGAGGAAAAGAGGAACAAAGGATGTGTATCTCTCAGCCAACAAGGCCGGGCACCTCGTTGGATTGCATCATGTGCCAACCGTTTCCAGCAAATGAGTTGAGTCAAGAGTCTGTCAGAGTCTACCAGTTCCCGACCAACACGCCAACCCCAAGAAATGGCCACCTCGATCCTCCCAGTTGCAACAGACTGGGGCTGGGCCTCAGCGAGATTGTACTGTCGGACGCCAGATGTACTGTCTGTGAGCTCTCAGAATCACAACGAGGCCAGATTATGACGTCATCAATCTCCCTTGTAAGGATGGCTACACCCTTCCAAAAAGGCATGTATCATCATTTATCTATAAATCTGGATGCTTTGTAGTCGTGGCCTAGCATGACACTTCTTCTGCCAGCTGCGCCTAAGCTGGAGATTTTAAGAAAGGTGACTCATGACTTCTCAAAATAGGATGCTTCTTACCAATCTTAACCGCCTGATCCCACCAAACGCATCGGACCCCACTCCACTCCACACCAGCTTCTACTTCCACCAGAAAAGCGACAAGGCTTTCTTGAAGAGGCCCAAGTTGTCATCCTGGGTTTTCACAACTCAATTGGCGGCAACGAGCAGGTTCAGAGGATTCGTCTCGATCGTCAATCTGTCTGAATGTTGCTGTAGGCTCAAAGGATGGCCGCAGCACGCACCAATCTGGTACGCCACTGCCAATGGTCGGAGATGATACATGTTGATACTATCTGTTCCAAGAGCTTCCCAAGTCTTCCACAGGCGCACCACTCTCTCATGAAATGATAGTATGCATCGCCTGCATCGCCTTGTTTGTTTTCGCCGGCTTCTTCTTGGATACCTGACGCTGTTGAGGATCTTCACAGTCTCGCCAATCGCGATCAGTTCCTGTCAGCAGGTTGCACTTCATCAGGTTCAGCAGTGATGAATCATCCAGCAAATCCTCAAATTCATGCTCTCCTTGAGCTGCATCAGGGAACTGGAAAAATGATCTTTAACTCCACCAATCATGCGCTAAAGCATTTGAAGAACGTTCCGTGCCGTGGACGTTCCGTGACACGCCCAACGCACGCCCAACACGCCCTGCCCTCCGCGCCTCGCCACGGCTCTTCTCGCGAACGCTCCACTCCTTGGTCTTCGCCTCACAGGTCTCGGAGAGCTTCTTCCTCGCTTTCGGGCGCACGAGTGAAGGCGCAGACTGACCCGCAGTCGACTTCTTCGCAAAGCAATGACCGGCGTTGATTGTTGATTGTGTCAAAGGAGTCTGGATGCAAACATGTCCGACCAAACACCAAAATTGTGCTTCTGGTATGGGTGTCAGGCCACCTGGGAAATCTTTGAGAACCTGGCAGGACGTCGAAGTCCTTGGACAAGGCATTCTGGGCGTCCTGAAGCAGCACGGTGGTTGACTCCGGCAGCTCTAAACAATGATTGAGGTTGCTGTTGAACTGCTGTTGTCTCTGGACTTAAAAATAAATGACACACTGGGTCGATCTTCGCGCTGTGTGGCTGACGGTTGAAGTGATGATGCAATGACTGCCATGAATCTGAGCACCGGCTAACTACTTAACTCAGACTAACTCAGGTGCCTGTAAAAACACACACCTGTAAAGAATAACAGCATATACAGTCGTCATAGACAGTATCTGGACTCAGAGGCCAAGATTCTGGTTGGATGACTCATAAACTTGCATCTATCTGTCAAGGCGAGTTGTTCAACGCATGTTGTTTGACGGCTGTCCTTGAGCTCACCCTTCTTCTCCACCAAGGACACCTTGCACGGATTTTGGAGCGCCACCTCTAAAACTGGCGAGTGAGACTCCACAAGTAGCTTCGCACAGCAGGGAGGGATCTTCTCAGGTGAGGAGAGCACACTTGGGCCAAGAGAATGCTCTACCTTGGTATGCTTCTCTACCGGTGCCGCTTGACTCGAAAGCCGCCGCCGTCACCTTCAGGGCTCCAAGTCGATCGATCTTCTGGGCCAAGGTCTCCTGGGTTGGCCAAGGCAGTTACAGTAGGCACATCAAGTCAAGCTTGTCTTGCTTCATTTTGGTTTCATGCTACAAGACAGAAGACTAAGAAACACAGCAAACGAGCTGGGAAACATGCGGGAGGAACACGACAACTTGCACGGATGCCGCAGCTAAAAGCACAAGACGAAGCAATGAATTGCTCCTCAATGGTCTCTTTCTCCTCTGTCTTTGCATTCATGAGTTCCTGCCAAGACTTCGATGGCCAACTCACGAGAAAGCCCGCGCCAAACCCATTTTGTCTTGTGGACACTCTCAAACACAAGTGTCGCAAAGCTGATTGAGTCACCACTTTACTGCAAACCCATCTACCCAGGCCTCGAAGATGTTGACCTCCTTCTCTTCCTCCTTATCATCCACGACCACCTGGCCAGGTTTGTGCTGACACTTTCGAGTGAGAATTGACAAGTTACCATTTTGCAAACGGTTTTTGCTTTTCTTGTTCATCTGTTGGATTATCTGCTCTTGCATCACTGGAAAAATCCATGAGCCATACATGTGCCCAGGCCTAGGCCCCTTAGTGTGTGCTGAAACAAACAAAATCCAAAACGAAGGTTCCACAAGCGTTGCATCTCTTCAAGCTACTCGATGTGCGGTCGGCTCACCTCCTTTTGAAGGTCCTCCTTTTGCCTGGGTCATGTGAAGGAGCGACCAACAGCTTCTGCAGATAACTCGATGAACCCTTAGGCCCCTGGGGGGTACCGCCATGCTACACGCTCCACGCTCGACTCACATCACATTCAATCCTTTTGCAATCGGCTCAACCCCCATTTCCAAGCCAAGCAACACTTCCAGCATTCCCTTGATTTCACCAATGCCCTGCCGCCCACTTCGCCCCACGACAACAGCTGCAAGAATGGGAACGGGCCCCATGACAACAGCTTAAAGATGCGTTACTGTCCACATAAACACGTGAATCAAACCAGTCACTCCTGAATGTCATTCCTTCTTGTTCTGTCCAAGGTTCCCGTGAACCGCGAGACCTGGACCTGGATTTATGAGCTTCGTTTGAAAGAGCTGGTGTCTGGGCTCATGGTGCTCTTATGGAAACTACCAGGCGCGGCTGTTTCATGATTTTTACATGTTGTTTATCCATTTCACTTGCGGATTTCTCCATCTTCGGCCACAGATGTCCTCCGTCTTGCCAGTCGCCAAGAAGGAGGCCATGGCCTGGCGCTCACTCTCAGTGGCCTCGGCAAAGGGGCTCTGGGCAAGATCTCCTAGTTGGGGGTCCCTCTAGTTTTTGGCCATAGAATACCTGGTACCTCTTCTGCGCGCCCGGTCTGAGACCCTGAGACGATCGCGGTGCGCGATGGACTTTATAGAAATTCTGAAGGCGTCAAAAGAATATGCCGACATAGGGCCCACAGTTTCATCTTTTTGCGTCAACTCCAACAATTCCTGTGTTGGTGGTAACGTCGGCAATCTTTAATATTGCTATAGCCTCCGGCTGTTTGGGAACGGCATGTAAAACAATGAAAGCAATAGTTCCTGGTTTGCGGGTCACATGTGCAAAACGAGGGGGTATGTGTCATGTGGCCAGAGGCCACCGGGCGGACAAGAGTCGCAAGCATGGAGCAGGAGGACTCCAAGAGGACAACAGGAGGACACAGGGTTCGGCAGCGCGGCCCGACTTCGCTCAGAATCCGGACGCTCTTGCTCTTGGAGACCACCTGCTGGAGCCGATCCACCTGGAGACCGGCAGAACCGAGCGCACCCAGCGGATTCTTCGGACGATTGGGACGGTGCCGAGGTGAAGATGGTTGGGAGGTGGTCCCTAGGCAGCCAGAACAGTTCGAAAACACGCCAGTACTAGGTCTGTGAAGGGCGAACTTGACCAAACATCAGGAGCGTATAAATCGTCAAGACAGGACCAAACACTTTTGACCAAAGGGCCCAATCCAGTCAGAGTGGCAGGCGATTCAAGGCGCGCCTGCTTCTTCGAGAGACCCAGGCGCCGGGCGTCGCTGCCCGTCTGCACGAAGGCGCCAGCCGTCGCCTGAAGTTTGGGGGCTGACAAACGTGTCTGTGAGACTGCGAGTGTCGATGCGACCAAGCTGCCGCAACTGCACGGCCCAAAACCGAGCTTTCACACGCTCTCCGTCTCCCCCAGAGCGCCTCTTCCAGCACAGGGAGCGCCTCACTGATGGCTCCGATGTCGGCCTGAGAGGGGGACCCAATCGCAAAAAGCGCTGGCCCTGGTTCACCCCTACGTGATCGGAGGATGTTGGCCCAACCACTGATGGATTGTGGGCTTCGATCAACCTTCCATTGCAAAAATTGATCCAAACCAATAGTTGGGACATGGATTTCTTTGGAGGGAATAATGGAATACCTACCATGCCATAGGTGGGCCAGCAAACACAGGGTTCATGGAGAAGCACGAGACTCGTTGTGGTTACCATACGGACGGGGAAACACGTCGTTCTCATTTGTCACACATGTTTCATCACCCTTGCGTTTGACGCATGTTTCAACCCCCTTTTTGGTGAGATCTTCAAACCAATGGAGCAGCTCATGGTGAAAACGCAATCGCAGCGCCTTGAGCACCGTCACATCGTCCACATAGACATCGTGCTCCTGCTCTACTACTAGTACCCGCCGGGTTTAGGGGTACACCACACTGCTCGTGCCCCCTACAGGATATAGAATGCCTTCGCCTTTGCACATCCATGTAGCTTGAAGCACACACGTGAAGCGGAAAGGCCAAGGAGGTCTGGAGTCTAGGTCTTGTGCCATGGGGCCGTTGAACCTAGACATACCTAAACCCATGTTGCAAACATTCCTCGCAGACGGTCCTTCTCGCGCTCCACGCTGGCCCGCTGCATGGAATCCTTGGTGGCCACCTCATCGGCCCTCTTGGCCTGCGATGGTAGACCAACCAGGCAAAGGTGGGAGTTAAGGAAAGTAGCAAGGCAATCGCCTGGATTCAGAATTGGTGGATCGCATATGAAACTAAACCGTAACTAACCCTGAGAGTGGTGCTCTTTCGGACGCTGTACCCTGGAAGCAAGTCTCTCAGCAATGTCCCGTTTGAACCGGTCTTCGGGAACCCTTTTCCAATCCCTGACTCCTTGCGATCGTGGCCTCAATCTCTTGCGTGAGCTGGCTGATTTGCGCTTCTGTCTGGGCGGAAGTTGGGATCTTGGCAAGGCAACCTTCAAAACATAATGGCAGTGGGGAAACTCAAAAAGAGAGTGTGTCCCCTAGCCTGTTCCCTCACCAGTTCAGGACTTGGACTTGGCAGGTGATCAGCAAATCTGCCCGGCGCGCACCTATCCAACTTCCCGGTGCTACCCTGTGCCTCAAGAAGTCCACCGGGTCAAACCCCTCTCAGCGCAGCTGGCGCCCCCCCTTCCCCGCGCCGCTTCCCGACACGACCGCGATGAGCTTTTCGGCCCAAACCAAGGCGCTGCTGAGATGTCGGACTCCAGCTTCGGGACTGCCTCGGGACGACGACCACGAGGACGACGGGCATGTCATGTCGAGGAAGGGCCTGGAAAGACCATTGGCCTGACGAGGGAGGGCCCTCCGTCCATTTTCAGGGTGCTTCTTTGGCTTCACTCTCCAGTCCCACGAACAGTGCCAAGGAAGGCCTCAACTGGCTGTGCAGCGGCAAATTCTGCTTTGGGATTGTAGAGATGCGTGGAGTGGGTGCAAAATCTGGATGACCTCACACCATCCAAGGGCCCACATGTTTCTCCCAATTTGGGGGATCCATCTTGGAAGGATCAATCCACACGAATCCCCAGTTGAAATCCCCATGTGTATGAAAAAACAGTCTTGTGGAGTCTTGTGCACATCTCTTTATGTCAGCAAAGAGAGGTCGCGGCTTTCAAAGATCTCTGCAGGATAAAGAAGCTACTAGGAACAAGAAGCTACTAGCGGCTCCTGGCATCGCTACTAGGAGCAAGGTTGCTACTAGGGGCTCCTGGCCTTACTACTAGGAACAAGAAGCTACTAGGGGCTCGGCTCCGAGGTGCTGCACCAAACCCTCTGGGCCACCCAACAGCTTCGAAGGCAGCCTTGCCCTGGACGGGGAGTAGATACGAACAGAATAAAAAGAACATGTAAACAAGGAACAAAGGCTCCCTCTTTAAGATCAACGTTGCACGAATATTTATGACTCTTCTGACTCTGCAACGTCCTGAGCAGTCTTTGGGACTCACTTATCATCAATAAAACTCACCATGTATAGAAAACATGATCACGCTGCAAGAATCCTAGAAATCTTTGGACGATCGAGCTGCTTCCGCAAATTGGCTTCACTCCTGGCCTTGTTGAAGTCAGCTAATTCGGATTTGCAGTGACACATGAACTTGTCCTCGGAGCACGTCGAAGGGGGGCGACGAATGAAACAGCCAGCCTTACGCGAGAACCTCTTCAACTCGCTGGGGGAACTCGCTGGGGGACCTCTTCAAATCACTCCTTGGTGTTCTACTGCTCAAACATGATGGAAAAAAGAAAGGAATCACTTCAGCAACAACAAAAGAGAACCACCCCAAAAGGACCTCCTTTGCATCTAATATCAAAAGGCTGCGGTACCCGGCAAGCCCGTTTTCGAAACAGGCTCAACTAGTCCAAGAGGCATACAGGTCTTTCTCTGTTTCACCTTCTTCCTCGATCTTTTCTGACCTCAGCACAAACAAGACGATGAAGCTGGTGAACAAGGAAAAAGTAATCCATTCACAGTCATCTAATGTAAATGCTTTGCTCATCCAAGCTATATAATTACCTGAAAAACTATAAACTTGCACTGAGTTTCAGGTCACTTTCTTATTTAACTTTGTGTGGTGGCTGCTTGCAAGCTGCATCTTCTGCATCATAGTCACCACTTTCCTGCGTTTGAGAAGGTCCGCCAATCAGGCAACTCTTTGAGGTCTGGAAGTTTTCGAGCGTCCAACTCCAGTGGACTTCCATCTCACTCTGTTACGCCAAGACATGTCTCTTTTTATCTTTCATGAAAATGGACAAAGCAACTGCTTCCAATGATGATTTTGTCTGTGGAGTTGCTACATTGACATCTTCGTTCTCAAGACTTAAGAGAAACATGACTTCACCATGGCACCTCCAACAGCCCCACGGCCCAGCGCTGCGCCAAAGCGAGTCAACAAGTCCGGCTCCCCTGGTTCCTGATGGGGTTCGCCCCCACGGTTCCGGCGGAACTCTCCGCCGATCCGACGGCCGAGAACAGGCCCAGCACCTCGGGGAAAGGATGATTCGTAGAAACAGCCCAGCACCATAGGGAAAGAAGTCATTAGAAACCATCAAGTGGAACAAAGCATAACTGTTCAATCAAGAAACGATCCAAAGGGTCAAACCCAATCAAGATGCCAACAAACGCAATCAAGAAAACGTAAAAACCTGTTTTGATCAGGCAGGTGATTGATTCCTATCGTATCTTGGCCCCGCCAAACGCAAGAATGTATATAAGTCAAATCTGCATGACGTGTGCAAAATTGTAGATTATTACAAACCGATGGTTGATTCTGCATGCCAAGTTTTGGCCGTCTGAGCGCGAAACAACCGCAAAGAGCATCATGGCAATTGTCCCGGCCTTGGCAAAAGATTTCGACAACTTGGATCATTGGCAACAAGACTGCGTCTCTGCCAGCCCGCTATGGATGCACCAATTGGACCAACTTTTGCGGGCCACCGGCTGGTGTGCACTGCGACTCTTTCCACATGGATTGAAAACATGTTCCACATCATGTTTTGTTTCCACCCTAGCATCAAGTTACTCGGCAAAGAGTGATTTGATCCCTTGTTTGTTGCCCATTTCACCGCAAGGCTTGAAAGTGTTGTTGAAACTTAGTTACCTTAGTTTCAATCCAGTACTCACACCAAAACGTTACATCGAGAGAATGCCACCGAGCGACTCACACTTCGTTGGTGTCAGGGCCTTTCTCACATGGAAAGGCTTGTTCACAAAACCCCGAGCCAAAAGCATGAAAGGCGGCTCTGCACTCATCAACACAAAATGGTTTGGCAATTTTGAACCGACTAATACTCACGACAGCAACCAAGCACCAAACGTGGTGCTGGTTCGACCAACCACCAACCCGCCATGGGGATGATGTTACTTTGGTCATCAGGCATCAAGGTGTCAGGTGGCTGAAACAACCTGTCAGAAAACAACAAAGGGCATAGATGTCGGACCAGAAACCAATGCACATTCTTTGCATCAGCCTCCTTGCTGTACGCGCCAAGGAAAAAGGAATGCCTCGCTCCAATTTTTCGGCCATTCAAGAGGACCATATCAATGCCCATAAGGATGGCGGCTCCAAACCTCCCAAGTACACACCGTCAAAATCCCCAGTGTGGACGCCTTTTGCACTGGCAGTTTCGCACGTGGAATTGGATGGGAATGGTCAATTTAAAAGGCATCCTGAAGATGGTTCCGTGTTTTGGGTTGCTGGAAATCAGAGACTCAAAAAACAAACAACAATTGGTGTGCGCAACGGCTTACCAATTGTTTCTATTTTTATGTCCGTTGCACTTACTGCGTTTGTCCATCACGGACGATTGTCCAACCATAATCGGCAGTTTGCGGTGGCAATTGCCTGGCGCGGTCCATTCAGACCAATCACACCTTACTAATGCTTTGGTTACACAAACAGAATGCAAACAGCAAACTGCAACTTGAGAAGAAGGATACACGAAAGGTCGGACAGCAGGAGGAGAATAGAAACATGAAAAATATGCAGCGTGGTGTTGGTGGAGTCGAATCAAACGTCAACTTAAGAGTGGGGGAAAAGACCAGACTTTGAGATATCTATCTATATACCCAAAGCTTCCAACTACGTTGATAACCCTAGGATCTGACAAGATACGAAGTATACTCTAGGAGTTCACAACTACATTCAAAAACCAGCAACTACGTAATGCATCATCTCAATCACCTCAAGTAAACTTAGTAGCGAAATAGGCGCGCTACTTACCCTGGTTAAATTTAGTACGCATTCGCGCCGGAGTTTACTTTTGTAGTTGAAGATGAAGGTACATATTTACAATTATATGATAATCCTCAACGACAAGAAGCACCAAAAACAAAATGTCATGTCTCTTCATGGACTCAAACATTGCCCCAAGCTTAGTGCTCAACACCAAGTAACCATTGAGGTGTTGGGGATGAAGCGGTCAGGGGGGAGGGGGTTGTATTGAAAAATCAAGTCCAAAATGGGGGGAGAGATGGACTGTTAGGAACTATGCGACAAAGCCCTTTCAAACACAACAGCAACACGACCAGAACAACAACAACAACAACAACAAAATGAACACCACCAACAACAACAACAACAACAACAACAACCACCACCACCACCACCACCAACAACAACAACAACCACCACCAACAACAACAACAACAACAACTTCTTTCTTCTCACGCACTCGAAGGGAGTAGCGCCGCCCATCAGTCAGCATTGTGACTGGACTCCATGTAGGAGTTCGTTTGTGGTTGGAGAGGAGCAATCTGCTTCTATGGCAGCAAATCACCAAATCAAAATAAAATCGTCCAAAGGCAAACATCGTCTCAGACCCAAAATCAATCCAGGGGAAGAAGGTTCAAATCTCAAGTGCACATGAACGACACTCTTTTCGGGTGTGCCGGACAGCTACCCTCCCTCAGAGCGAAGCTCAGCGGCCGCTACGTCAGCATCCGCCACAGACGGCCGCCATCCACAGCGGCCAGCGCAGCGGCGGTCAGCGGCTCGCTTCCGACACGTCGAACCCGGTGTCCGCAAGGACTTGGTCGATGGTCCGGTCCGCGTCTTGCAGGCGCAGGAGCAATGAATTTAAAGCCAAGTTGCTAGAAGGATCCGATCCT